AGGACATGATCGCGCAACAATGGTACTTGGGGGAATTAATGAGATCCAACAATATCTTGATGTTAGGTATATTGGACCTCCAGAAGCTGCGTGGCGATTGTTTGGTAATCCTTTACATGAAGAGATTCCGTCGGTTGTAAGATTGACACTTCATTTGCCTTGGATGCATCGTGTGGTCTTTAACCCTGCTGAATCTTTTGATACGATCATTTCTAAAGGTGCACATCAAGAAACAACTCTAACTGGCTTTTTTGATTGTTGCGCTGCAAATGAATCTGCACGTGTATTAACTTATCAGGAATTTCCACAAAAATTTGTTTGGAACAAGTCTATCAATAAATGGACTCCAAGACAAAGGGGTTATGCAATTGGTAAAATGTACTTTGCTAGCCCTAATTCAGGTGAGCGATTTTATTTACGTTTGCTTCTAACTGTTGTCAGATGACCTACTTCATTTGACTGGCTACGCACGGTAAATAATGTTATGCATGATACATTCAAGTCAACATGTGTTGTAAGAGGACTTCTTGAAGATGATGAAGAATGTATACAATGTCTTCAAGAGGCTGCAATTATGAGAACGGGGTACCAATTAAGAAGATTATTTGTCATAATTCTAACGGAATGCTTTCCATTGCATCCATTTGCATTGTGGAAGCAATTCTCAGCACATATATGTGATGATTTAGCACACAAGATTCGTACTATGTTTGGTATTTTGAATCCAACTGATGATCATATTGAAGATTATGACTTATATTTGATTAATCAATTGCTCCATGAGTCGGGGAAGAGTTTAGTTGACTTTCCACCCATGCCACAACCAATTGAAAATTTGAATGCAACAGTTAGAAATAGATTACTATTTGAGCATCAACAACTTCAGAATGAAGCACAACAGTTTGATGCACAAATTAATGTTGACGGCCTTAATGATGCACAACTTGCTGCTTATACTGCCGTCACAACGTCAGTATGTGAAAACATAACAACTACTTTTTTTTTGAGTGGAGGTGCTGGGACGGGGAAAACGTTTTTGTACAATACCATTGCAACCAAATTGCGTAGCTATGGACATGTTGTTGTTACTGTGGTTTCATCTGGTATTGCATCGTTGTTATTGGTAGGGGGCGCACTGCACATTCTACATTTTGTATTCCTTTGGAAACCCTAGACAATTCAATATATGGGTTCACTAAACAATCAATGCATGGAGAATTGTTTAGAAAAACAAAGCTGATAATATGGGATGAAGTTCCTATGCAGCATCGATACTGTGTTGAGGCAGTCGATCGCACCCTTCAAGATATCAGAGACGATAAAAGACCTTTTGGGGGTATCACTGTTGTCCTGGGTGGAGACTTTCGACAAATATTGCCTGTTATTCCTAAAGGCGTTCGTGAGCAAATTGTGGGTGCATCATTGAAACGGTCTTTGCTATGGAAAGATATATGTGTTTTGACTTTAGGTTTAAACATGCGATTAACTCGCACTGACGTTCGAAATACTAATTTTGCTAAATTCTTGATGGAGGTAATATTTCATTCCACCTTGAATTGTTGAATTTTTTAACATGATGCTTTGAATTAAATCTCACTTTGTGACTAATTATACTTTCATTTTTTAGATTGGGACCAATCCACATGAAATTGTGCAACTTCTATCTACAATAAACCGGTGTCACAATCTAAATGAATTGATATTTAGAATCTATCCACAATTGGATGTGATTGGTATAGTGACTCCAACCTTTCTCACTGAATGCACAATTCTCTTTGCACGTAATGACGACGTCAGTGATATAAATGCTGCAGCACTGAATATTACTCCGGGAGAGACAATTACTTTTTTAGCTGCAGATAAAATGTCTGAAGGTGATGAGCTTGACCGTACCATTAGGAATCGATATCCTAATGAGTACTTAAACTCGCTGAATCCTTCAGGGTTGCCACCGTTTAAATTGGAGTTGAAAGTTGGATGCCCAATAATGTTGTTACGAAATATTGCACCAAAGGATGGACTTTGTAATGGCACGCGATTGATGGTTGTTAGATGTGCCTCAAGGGTAATCGAAGCTCAGATATTAAATGGAGATAAAATTGGCAATTTAGTCTTCATTCCGAGAATATCAATGACACCAACATCTTTGGACTTGCCTTTTCGAATGACAAGACGTCAGTTTCCTGTCCGATTAACTTATGCTATGACAATCAATAAAGCCCAAGGACAATCTGTCAAGTTCGTTGGGATTGATTTGCGGACACCTGCTTTTAGTCATGGACACCTTTATGTGGCACTATCTAGATGCACATCTTCGGATCGTATTACAGTCCTCCTTCCAGAAAATAGGTCGAATTGCACTACAAATATTGTTTACCCAGAAGTTTTGTTATAAGATTCTTACGACAAGTAAATGGTATAGTTTAAACAAATTTATTTCTACTGAATTATGTAATCTTTTCAACATTTCAACTTTTAGTTTTACAATGAGATTCATTCTTTATAGGATTGGAGTGAATTTGTCAACGAGAACGATAGTGTATATACAATGGACCTTTGTGGATGGGGCCGACGTAATCAGGTAAATCTACTTTATGTCACTGTATTAAAATAATTTTACTATTCCTACAATATAAATATTGTGTTACTTTTATTGTTTATGTGAATAATTTAGGTGGTTGTGCATTCTCCTCATTGAGCAAAGTGCGTTCGTATTGATACGAGGACATTAAGGATAGTGATGAAGAGAAGGTTTAAAGGATGAATAAGACATTTAAGAGAGTTAAATGATATGCAATCCATTACCGACCTGTCCACCTTTGACGATGACTAACTCATCACTGACCAAACAATTGTTTAGGTATGAAAGTCTCTCTTACTAAGACTCTATATTTCTCTATTTGTCATGTAGACACACAACACACAATACATGCACAAACACAAACACATAACTGTAACCAATCAAACACTCGCAAATCAAACTCACACACCATTATACTGTCACCAATACAGATTTATGATTGAAATCATTAAGCAAATGAACCGTCTGTTGAATTGATACTAAGAAAATCTTATTTGATTGTAAGTCTCTACATTCCTCCATATCTTTTCCTAAATAAATTGATAATTTGTTACAAACTCTCTAAATTCTTACCTATATCAATCTAAATCATTTCCCCTCCAACTACATACAAATGTGTGTGCTCATTTGTTTTTTAGATAATTCAGGGTAATGTAATTAATTATATTGAATCCAACTAACGAAAAAAGTAAGGGGTCTTATATTTCGGATTTACAATTGTTTTATTTTGACTCATTTATTTCGATAATTTTTATATTTCAAATATTTTTAGGTATACATTGAAGGATACTTGGTGTAAGTTGTAAAGAATATGAAGTTGTTTCTCTATTTTGTGTATGTGTATATTTTTTGTGTTCCGTTTTTTGTAAAGTTAACTAATTATACATAATTATGATTATTTTGGGTATGGAATGATGGTTGTTTTGGTGGTTTGGGTATGTAGTGATGATTGTAAGTTTTGTAGATAGGTTTATATTTTTTTGGATATCTATTTTTAAAGGAAATTCTGCATAAATTTCTTGAAATTAGTAGGGATTAACTTGATGTTTTGGTGGTTGGATATGTGTTAATGATTGAATATGTATTAATTATTGTGGTGGTATGGTAAATTATGATAACGTTATGTCTGATCGTAAGTTATTAGGTAATGTAATATTTTTAGAGTTTTAATCTAATTTTTCGTTACGCCGTGCCTTTAAGCACGGGCAATTACTAATCTCTCAACATGACACGACTGACCTGACTCTCTCAAGATAGCACGATTGACCTCATCCAACTTTTCTTATCCTGTGATAGGCTTGATCTATATGGTGAGTTTGATCTGTATTTCTAAATTGAGCTTGATTTGTAATTCTGGGCCTCGGCCGGGCCCATCACCTTTCTAAACTTCGCTTGTTGCTAATACCTTTTTTATTTTGGTGATCTTTGGATTGTATATTGATTAGTATTTTTTTCTATCGCATAAATATGCAATCTACAGGGACTAGCCAGCAAGTACATTATTTTGGATTATGTTTCGCTTTGAAACTCTTATCGTAGATAGATAATAAATGTTAATTGATTACAAATGTATAGATTCATACTTATAAGATTTCATATAATATTTAATGCAAACCGAATAAGAGTTTTAAAACAAATCATGACCCAAATTAACGTGTCAACTAAGTCTTCCCGTTGTAGCACATATAGAGTTATATATCGCACCATGTGTCCATACCCATATATCATATTAAATCGATCCGTGATCTAGTTAACATTGATTATTAATTTTCAGAATTACAGGCATGGTGTTTTTCCTTTTATTTTCCTTTTCTCTCATCATTTTTTTGTTTGTTCGTTAAAGTTTCCATGGATTTTTATTCATGAATTGTTGTTAAATAAGCATGGGATTTTGGCGAGGCAATACATTCATGTCTTATGATTCAGTTTGGTTTACAGATGGAAACAACCTCTCTGCTTGCAGAAATAAGGTTGCGTACATCAAACATTCCTAGCAATGACGATCCCCGATTCGTTATTCTAGATCACCACCGTATGCTTGAACTTATTCCTATAGCCCGGATTATTATTCCCCATCCCTGAGGCGAAGACATTACTCAAGGTATTGAGTTATGCACACTTTCTTGTTATTTAATCTTTACAAGAAAAGGAAGACAGCAAACAAAAACATATTCACTAACATTATGTTCGATCTCGGGTCGAAATATCGAAGGTATAGAGAGAGGTCTTATTCAAGGTCCCCTCATGGATCTAGGAGCCGGAGCCGAAGCCAAAGCCAAAGCACAAGAATTTTGATACAACAAACAAAGAAGAAAGAAAAACAAAAAAAAAAAAAACAGAATAGAAATTAGATTATTTACTTGGTATAGGAGCAATAGTGTGATGAGCTTAGCTTGAATTGAATGCGACTGAAAACACATTAGTCACGAATGGCGTGGTGACGCCAACAGAGAAGTGTGGAAATGCAGCGGCGGAGAATGTAGAACCGCGTCCTCTGCTGCTTGATCATCTTCATCCATTTTTTGCCATATTCCAACCATAAAACTATGGAAGACCTTGATAGTGACGACGACGACGACGATGATTCTTTTCTGCTATTATTCCTCCTACTGTTTTTGTAAATCGAACGCATGCTGTCGAGGATGATCACTATGAAACTACAATTCTATATGCTGATAGATAATGTGTGCATGGAAAGAGAGGGGGGGGGATGGCATGCCGAGTTAGGGTGAAGAATAAAGAAGGTGTGTGGAATTAGCTTCCAAAGATTTGGAACCTGTCGACTTTAAACTTAGTCATTTTATCAAGTTTAATTTTTTGTCGTAGCTAGTGCACAAAATTCCTTCTTGTAACATGGCTTGGTTGAGGTAATTGATAGATAATTTTGACCACTTTCAAGAGATTGATATTCAGACACGCAAATTCGGGATGTATCACTTGTAGGGATGAGTACTTGTCACCATTCATTTTTTGAATTTTATGATCAGTTTCAATCATATATCGCTAAACCCATTAAATCCTAGACATAAGATAGTGCGTTTTTATGGATTCTCCCAATATATCGATTAGATCTGAAGAATTTGACAATGAATGATCAACTTGTCGCAAGAAGAACGTTTATTTGATATGATGTATATCGATGAGTCACTACCATACGGTATTGCAGCACATCTCTATCAGTCGGAGTATTGCAGTGCCGAAATTCACTTTTTAGCCAATAAAAACGGATCACGTGTGCATTTTTTCTTATTTTTTTAATCAACGATTATAGATCATTCAATTCAAAATCAATGGTTCGAATCGTCTTTTAGTACGATACAAAGAAGCAACATAACTATATCATAGCTATAATATGAGCAAAAGAAACACCTAAAGAGTAACAAGAAAAACTCATGTAAGGACACAATAGAAAGCACCTCTATAGAGTAAGGGACATATAAGATCACTATGCTTTTGACAACAATTGGTTTCGTGACTTTCTATTTACTGGGAAATTCAGGTTTCGAATTGGACTTGGACCAAGCTGGTTGATCAAATTTAAGAGATAAGAGGCCAGACTTTTCAACCTTCCCATAAAAAAAATTTAACCAAAACAATTGGATGTGTGAAAAAGAAAGTTTGGGAGGATGAACTCTTGAATTTAGGTAATTGGTTGGTCGGTGACTTTGCCCACTTAAGGAGAGATTAATTCTCGAACTCATATTAAATCTATTGAGTCTTATTTGTGAAATAGTGTGTTTTCAAGGTTCCATTAGTAAGGACGGAGTCAGAAATTTGGCCTAGTTGAGGCAAAAATTTTAACAACAATACTAAAATATTATACTTAATTCGAAGACATATTGCATTAGTGACGTTCATTCAAATATTAAATTTTCATTATTTATTTCACGATGATAATAGATTAAATTCTCAAACTATATCCCAATAGTCTTTTCACTTTTAACAATAGTAGATTAAAATTTTTAAACTAATAATGAACAAAAAAAAGTGACCCAATGCATAGGTTCCCGTTACTGCAAGAATTGGGAAGGGTAAAATTTCTGCAACCTTATCTCAAATGTGACAGGATGCTTCTGTAACTTGAAATATTAGCGCCTACATAATAATGGAGAAATCTTACATTTTTAATTGTTCCTATTTAATTTTCATATTAAAAAAATAAATTAATTAACAATGGTGAGAGAGAGAGGGGGGGGAACAACGAGTTTTAGAATATTTTCTTAAACACATTTCAAGGGACTCAACTAACTAAATAGTAGTGGATTTCACTTAATTGAGAATAATTTTTTTTAAACCAAATGTTAAAAATAATTAAGTAAATTAAAATATATGAAAGTTAAAATTTATGGGATTTTTGTGGGGCCAAATCCTAACTATATTAAAACCCGTACAAAAAATGTGTTTGCATGCCAAGATAACGCTTGTGTAGGTCCTCTCCTGTCCACTAGTATTAGGTTCATATCCAATAGGAAAAATTTCAGCTACATCCCCTATAATTTACCTTATCTTCAAGGACACTCCTTATATTTTTTGAATCTTCACTGACACTTCTATCAAAGTAAAAATATTAAATAGAATGCAATTTTATTAAATTACCCATGATATATTTGAGGACAAACTTCATCAATACCTCCTCTAGATGAACATATTTTCATTGAGTTCCTCTCTATTTTTAAATTTTTTTTACGTATTAAAATTCGGACCGATTAAAATTTGATTCAAGTTAATTAAAATTTGAGCCGATTAAAAATTATATTTTTATACAATTTGGACTAATTAAAATTCTATTTGAGCCAATTAAAAATTATTTTTAATCAACTCGTATTGAATTTTAATCAGCCCAAACTTTAATACATAAGAAAATATAAATTTTAATTGACTCAAATTTTAAATTTAAATTGACATGAATTTTAATAAGTAAAAAAATATAAATTTGAATCGACTGAAAAGTGAATTTTAATCGATGCTAAAAAACTTGGGTAGAGTTTAAATCGGCTCAAATTTTACGTAAAACATAAATTTTAATATACTCAAATTTTAATACATTAAAAAAATAAATTTTAATTAGCTTTTAATTAGCTCCAATTGTAATAAAATTTTATGTAAAAAAATTACTTGAGGTTTATGTAGGGGCATTTTTTATATTTTAGATATTTTTTTTGTTAGGAATAATAGTTTAATGATAAGGGGTGTTAGTGATATTTAAATATAAACTACAAAGGGTGTTAGTTATATTTTTTATAATAAAGAAGATGTCTTTGAGAATATAATAACCTAAGAAAGGTGTGACGTTGATCAACGTCTTCCGAGACCGCTTATTATACTCGAACTCAACTTCTTCTCAATATATTTGTTTACAAGAACATGCATTTGCTTGGGGAGCAAGTGGACAGCTCACATTGAAGAGGAAGAGGAAGAGGGCAGCCTCGGCTATATATTTTACTTGATTTTCAACAGTATTGTTGTTTCTAATATAAGGCAACACCAAGAACGTTATATATTGGGAGAATTACATGTAGTGTTCTACTCGATGAAACACGGATATTTTGTTGAAGTTGACGTACTTGTATCAGATATCGTATCGGATACGATACTCGTAAGATATTCGAAGATATATATCGGATATATCTTTTACGTATCCGATAATAATTAAATATTAGAATATTTCACGGATAATTTTATAGTCGAGCAATATATATCATTTTTTAGTTGAACTTTTAACGTTTCTTTTCGAATTCACATGTCATACAATACATTTACAAAAAATTCATATTATTTCAAAAGCACATGAGTATTTTTTAAGTATTATCTCCAATTATATGTCAAAAGAATATAAAGTAAAGCTATCATATTATAATCTTAGAAAAAATTATTTCTAAATAAATATTATCTTTGATTATTTTAATTGGTCACTTTACTTCGTGAATATATCACAGCGACACGATCTATATTTTCTTGAAACTAAAAAGAATTATTAATTTTTCTTATTATATGTTAAAAAACTACCAAAATATATAAGTATTAAGTTAGTTAAAAATAATAAATATATTAAATATATTTTATTATAGTCTTATCTTGACCGTATTCATATCTTATTTTAAATTTTGTTGTATTGTCGTATTTGTATCGTATCACATCGTACCTGTATTTTGTATGCGTATCCATACTTCATAGGTTCTATTATATTATTTTATTGACATAAAATTAAAAATAAAAATCTAATTTTTTCATTAAAAAATTATAATTAATATATAATTATATTATTGTAAAATTATTATGCCGATGTCTTCTTAGTTCCTCGTTGATGAGTTAATGTAAATTATTATTGTAAAATTAATTTCAAACAATAACATATTAAAAAATTAGTCACGAGTTAGAGTGACGCTGATTATATATAAAAGTCACGTTCTTAACCCGATTTTATAGGGATTTCTCTTTTTTTTTTTTATTTTTTTTGGACATTGAATTCAAATAAGCAAGTGTCTTCAAAGGTAGATAGAATCAAAGGACCAACTGTCACTTGGGGCCAGGATGTGTCTCCATCACTGATTTGGCTTATACAACTTTATTATTTTCTAAATGGTAGGCCACCAATTGTTCAAATGATAGCGTAAAATTAAATAAATAATAAGTAGACCTCGACATACTTTAAATGGTAATAAGGATGAATTATTTTTAAATTTAGATATTCTGAATTTAAATTTTGACAATCCTTTGAGATTAGATTATAAGAGATTTATCCTTCATTACACTCTAGTTTTGAAGCAAATGACTTATTTTTGACCGAATCAGAGAGAGAATTAATTAAAATGTGAGTAAATTGAACTAAACATCAGCAATCCTTGACCAAAAAAAAAAAAACAGTGAATGAAGCTACAAGCCATTATTGTGCATCGACACCTTTAGAAAAAGCCCACGATAGTGCCAATGGCATACATGCAAATTCTACTATATCTTTGGGACCAAAGTGCAACTACACACATATATTGATATATTGTTTAATAAAAGTTCCAGCAAAATGAATAATTCATCAAGAATTATTGCACTTTTTGATGCTTTAAAGTCATCGTTTACTTTCTAAAGCCTGGCTTTTGTCTCTAGATATATCCCACAGGCTTATTTTAGGTTAGCTTTAGTGTCTTATCTTTCTTTCTTATAACTATAATTGTTTTAAACCACTTCGATTTGGTACTTTTTAGCTACTATCTCACTCAACCACCATCCTTATGATAAAAAATTCATTGTGAGAAGTAAGTTTGCATTCTCTCAAGACCTTGTTGCAATTTATTTAGAACTTCACCATTATAGAGGTAGCTTTGTATCTAATGTTATTAGGATGATTGTATGCACCCAAAATTTATATTGCAATCACAATTATAACCATAACCATAATCACAATTCTGACGGACACATGATTAAAACGGATCTTTACTAGCAAAAAAAAAAAGAAATAGAAAAAACAAAGTTGTTATAGAAAAAAAAATTTAGGGTTAATTACAACCTTCCCCTTCCAACTATATCTCTTGTTGCAATTAGTTCAATGTTGTTTCAAATGCTACAATTTGTTCTCTCAAGTTTCAAGTGAATTAAATTGACTAACAATAGTGACTGAACACTTGAAAGAGTCATTATACCCTCCCGTTCTATATATTATTTCTCATATTTTTTTTCTTAAGATACTTGTTTTGTCCTTTAAAAAAATCAAAAAATTAAGGCTAAAAAATAAAAGAAACCTTCACCTCTGCCTCATCATAGGTAAGGAATGATTTTTACCGGAAGAGGAAAGTGAATGAGAGTTAACCATTCGAAATAGAAGAAGATGAAAAAGGTGCAAGGGTCATTGGTAAGTACGGATATTTAGTACAGAGGAAAAAAATAAGTGTAATGATAATTATTTCTTTTCAATAAAATAAAAATTACATGAATGTGCCGTATCTTTAACTTTTATCAATTTTTATTATCTAAAAATAATTATTGGAGTTAATTATAAAATATTAAAACTTAAAAAAGTTATTCATTAAAATTAAAATCTAAAAGAATGAGTTACAAACTTTACAGTTGACCCAAGAATTTATTACCAAGGCTGGGCACATGTACATTATTCACGTTTGTTGAAAAAAGTCAATTATTCTAATTAAATTACTAGCAAAACAACAATTACTATCACTCACACTAGCATTATTGGAAGGAGTAACATATACATAAAAATAAAAAATAAAAAATAAAAAAGTCAAATGATTAAATTTGTACCTGATTCATCTCTTTCGACACGCTCAATTAACAAAAAAACCAAATTCGGTAATTACCTACAATACAATACAATACAATACAATAAGCTCAATTAATAAAAATCAGACTCGAGAATAGCCTACAATACACAATTTAAATACAATAAGTAGATTAATCACATTAGGGTTTGCATATTGTACATGAACCACAATATTATATGCATCTTACTCGACCAAAACATCACCCAATAATAAAAACTCAAAGATGGTAAACAAAAAAAAAAGAAAAAGAAAAATTCATATCTCTACATAGCAACCTGATTGGACAAAACCAGAGAACACCTCAGGCACATCTATCTTGACCAATTTACCATTTTCCCCTTCCTTTGTTCTGTCCAGCATGAAGAAACCATGTGGTGCACCTTGGTAAGCCGAGCCAGTGACCAGGCTTATCTCCCCAATATCAACCCCACAAGCCCCAACTTGGACTGCCGAGTCAGACTCAGCCCAGCAGATCAAATTCTCATTTTTCCCCTTACCCACACATGACCTCGGGCATTGAGTCGCCCTCCAAGCATCCTCAACTCGTCTCCACTTGCCCGTCTCGAGTTCGAGTAACTCAGCACTGCTTTTGAATCTTCCTTGGTTCTCCGTATCATATCCACTCACCACCCAAAACTCGGACCCAATTATGATACCTTCACACTCGTCTCGTTCTTCACTCATCCGAGTCAACTCAGTCCACTGGTCAAACCTTGTGTCATAAACCCAGGCTGAGTTCAACGCGTTCTTGCTCTCATCGTGGCCACCGGCGATGAAGACACGTCCCTCCACAGCACCAATAGCGAAAAATGAACGAGTCGACGGCATGTCTTTGCACTGAGTCCACCTCTGAGTTGTGAACTCGTACACAAACACGTCCTTTACTGGTTCCCAACTCACCGGGTCCCATCCACCCATGATTACAAGCTTCCCTTCTACGCTCGCCACTTGACAGAACCAAGGTAAACCATCTGGGTACTTCGGAACCGGGTCAACTCTGTCCCAATCCCCACTCACTGGATCAAAAACAGAGACCCCATAGCTGGACTGACCAACAAGCTTCGACTCGGCCTGAACCGAGAGTGATTGAATCAAGCAAGCGGCTTTGTGGGTGTGACCGGTTTGCTTTCTGTGGTAGTAAAAGTCCCTGCCTTGAAGAAGCTCACGCCACCGGTGGCAAACTTTGCCGGCGACTCGGTGGGCCGAGTAGTGTAACCGAGTCAAGCACTCGAGAGCGAGTTCTTCGGGTAAACCCGGAATCAACTCAGTAAAATCTTTTGACATTGTTTCTAGAAACTCTTCGATGTGTATGAGAACAAAAGTGCATGAAGCATTGAAGGGCTTAGTTTGGATATTTATAGTAATAGCAGAGAGAGGACGGGGTTAGTGCAATCATATGATGCCACGTGGAGGACAATGTTATGCACTTCGAGCACTGTTTCTAGAGAGGGAAATGTTTCTAGAGCCTAATCAAATGGGAAAAAAAACAATTTGGAAAAGTAAGAGGGGTTAATTGCAATTTACGTACGGCCCATAGTTTTTGACATTTAAGTTTTTATATTTAGAATAAGCCCTACTCTCTCTCTCTCTCTCTCTCTCTCTCTCTCTCTCTCTCTCTCTCTCTCTCTCTCTCTCTCTCTTAAAATTCCATAGAAAATTCTTCATTAGTAATGAATAAATGTTTTGTTTTTAAAATATATTTTTGAATAAAATTTTGGATTAAGAAAACAATTAATTTTGAGAAAATCAAAATATTTCATCAACGGCTATAGTTCTGGCAATCTATTCGGTACCATCGAATCAATCAACTAACTACATTGATCTTCAATTACGCATCACCACATCAAACATCATAACAACACCACGTTAATGGTCAAACACTCATAGTCATTATCGTTCATCTGAAATAACAATGAAAATTTTGTCAGGAATTGAAAGAGCCATCTAGAGCAATTCACAATTTTATAGATAGTTATGATGAGTTCAACACAATGGATCTTGAACATAAATAAGATAATGGCTAAGAAGGCGATTAAAAATGATCAACAACCATTATTATTTTTTCATCTATATAGTTGTGAGATTAGGAGAACAAGGAGAAGAAATCACTAATCATAAATCTCTAATCATTTTTGGTAATTTTAGTAAATAAAAGTAAAGAAGGTCAATATAATTCTAAGGGGTTTAATTGTGTTTGCAAACAATATATATATCTACTAGAGAGATATAAACAAGGGAAAGGGAAAAGGGTGTTCTGATTGATTGCCTGTTTGGGAAGATAAGGGTTGGCAATGGGGTGGGGTCATGGTGGACCCACTGTCTTGCAACTTGGATCTAGACTCCGTCAAGGCACTGAAAAGATGCCACGTGGATGGATAAAATGATAAAACTTTGAGAAGGGATATAATAACTTTTTTTATGTGATTAATCGGATGAGGGTTTCTAAAGTGCACTACGTGGGGCCCACACTGACAAAACCTTTTGATAGGGTAAACGATTGATAATAACGTATGTTTTTTTTATTGTCTTTTATAGCAATGCAACGACGACATAATTTACAGACCAAATTTATTATAATCTTTGGATTGATTGTGAAATCCATTAAATATTAGAATTTGATGTTAATCTAATGATTCTACTGAAGTTACATCATTATGTCAATAAATTAAGTCAAAATAATATTAATCTTTTAAATATTGTTTTTGGGTGATTTATTTGGTCGCCGGCGGTTTAGGACTACAAGCAAAATTTAATTTATATTTTGTTGGAATAAGGTTATAATTTAATGCAATTAAATTGAGACTAAAAAAAGTTAGAATTAATCTCAAAATATTATTATCGGTCCTGAAAAACTCTATTTCATTGTTATGTCATGAGATCAAATTATAATTTCTTTCTTATTTTGTTGTAATTGTACTTTTTTTCTAATAACTGTGGTCACCTGTATTACTAAAAAAAAATTCATCATTGTGTGAACAATGTAATTTTATTATTATTATTTTTTTTTTTGGATAAGTAAAATCTATTATATTATCTAGGGAGAGTCGGGATTTGGTATCTATATTTGAAGTATTCATAATATCAATCTTAGAGATAGTTTCAGTGGTGACAGAGACGAATTGTAAATTCAAACGTTCTAAATTTGAAATTTGATAATTCCCTAATCCAGATGTGAATGGTTTATATTTGATCAGATCGAAATAGATATTAATTGAAATATGTATAAGTTGATTCAAACACTCCTAATCGTTGTAAAAAAAAATATTCATAATATCTCTATTGATCTTGCACATGGATCGCTTTGGAAGTTTTATTTTGCTCCATATGGAAATTTTATGCTACACATCTGTTGGGGCTTTTTCCCCCTGCTTTATTGTAATTTTGATCCTCCATACATACAAAATGATTTGATTTTTGGAAAAATCGATTAAGAGCATTTTCAATTCACTCTCTATTTCCTCTCTTTTAGTTATTTTACCTTTCAAACACAAAACACTCTCTAACTCGCTCTTTATTTCTCATTTTACTCAAATAACTCTCCAAATGTTGAGTCATTTAACCTCTTTAAATTCTCTCTCTACCTTTATCTCTTCTATATCTCTCATTATATATATTGTATTCCTTTTAAATTATTAGAAATTAATGAAAGTTGGGTGAAACAGTCAGCTAAAATAGAATGTATGGTTGAAGTGAATTTGTAAAAGTGATATTGTTTTATGTCAAATTTGGTAAACATAAATTCATTGAAATCAGTTTGTAGTTTTCCACTCTTGTCTCACCTTAAACGCATAATTTTTCATGGTCAAGAACAATGAACAATTATTTGAAAAAGATTATATTCAAAAGAAGAATGCCCATACCGCCAAAAAGAATGTGCATTTCACTTGGTCACAATTGGTCTTCCATAGCCAGTAGATTCATACAGAAAATCAACCATAGTCTTTCTTTCATCATGTGGGGCCCCTTTTAAAATCATGATTCTTTTTCTGTTGATATTTTTTTTTAATAGTCAAGGTTGTTTGGACTAATTTATACACACCTTGATTAATTTTTTTTTGAATTCAATTAAAGACAAGTCATTCAGGTAAGAATTAAGATATTCATGAGAAATAAATGATAAATATCTCATGACATGGCCCTAAGGAATTGCCAAAACTTAGAATATCTGAATTTACAGCTCATTTTATTACCACTTGATCGAGTATCCTTAAAGTTCTTTTATGTTGATATGCCTAGGGCTTTAAACCCCCTCCCTCCCCCACCCCACCCCACCCCACCCCACCCCAACCCAAAGAAACACACTGTTTCATTTTATGAAACACACTGTTTCATTTTATGTTTTATGGGCAGTTAAATGAATAAATATGAACAATCAATAGTGTACATTAAGGACATAAAAATGAGATTTATGCTTCAATTCCTCACTCTACTTCTGATATCAGATTAAACAAACAAGCAAAATCGAGAATAGACGATATGGGTCTTTCTCACCCTTCCACTATTTGATTCTCTTTAGGCATGGTAATAGGGGACAATCTGCTTTGTGAATCATCACCATTAATTGTACATATTCAGTTTTTTTTTTTTTTTAATAAATTGTTTTGAAATAATTTAATATCTTCCTCATGGACCAACCAATAATGCCCAAAATGAGGATAAGGACAGTGACTTGTTTGGCTACGGATAAAATTGCCACCGGATTATTTTTGTCCAATGTAGTGAAATACTGACCAATAATGGACAGTGGACATAGTGACTCACTTTGGGTAACAACAATTTCTGTGACTTTGGTGGGCTCTATACATGCTAGAGATTGATGCAACTTATATTAGTTAGTACAACATATCGTTTTAATGGTCCCCATGAATGTTTGCTGTAGCTTCAAAATTCAAATTTAATGAACTGCTTTATTCCGTTACCTGAGAAAAAATTCATAAATTCATAAAGGTTCAATTATGGTACCCCTCCATTGTATCAAAATTATTAAAAAATAAGATTGAAATTACAATTTAGTCTATTGAGATTTATAATTCTAGAATATGATTTTTTGAAATCGTTCCCGACTTTTTTGTTGTTATTGTTGTTCTATCTTGGTCCTATTAAGTAGTAACCTTCTTAACCATACTCATCATCCTAACAAATTGTTCTTCATTATTTTTTAGGATGTTCTATAGTGTTCAAATTTTTGAGGTCAACATCATCTATCGTGAATTAGTGGAAGACTCATTGAATAATATGGATCTTCTAGCATCAAGTGCGAGCCTAGCTGTAGAGGGCATCAAAACTCTTCTAATTTAATTGGGTTTAAACAAAATGTGAATAGAGTACATGCGATTGATTGGTCAAGTTGTTCATCCACTACTCTATCACTAGACAACTACAATTATTGTTTTTTTTTTTTTGACTTTGAAAAATTTTAGATCTGAGTCTCAATGTACGATTAAAATTATTCCATTATAACTTAGTCATCATGAATTTGAATAATAATTTTATTTTTCTTGATTTGTATATAGAATAAAATTATATGTATATAAATCTCTTTGAATGTTGTAATGATAAGTAATGATGCATAAATTAGTTTTGTACATCACATGTCAAGTGTGAATAATAAATGCAAGAAAATAATATCAGGAAATAGAGAGACACAGACAATTTATAGTGGTCCGATCAGCTCGATCTACGTCCACTCTTTAATGACTCTGGTTGCCGAGTATTTTATTAACTCAAGGGTGTGGGGAGCAGAGAGTACAAGCTTTGAGGTAGAGGAGAGAATCGTGCTCAGGTAAAATATGATCTGCCTCCCCCAAGTGTTGGTGGAGCTTACAATTTATAGTCGACCTCCTAACAAATTTGGGCAAGATATTTGTAAGTAGTTGGCTAGTTTGTTAGATCTAGCGAGCTCTTCTCAACGTGCTAGGTAGTTGCGGTGCTCTCCATGAGATTTGGTCAAAGGATAAGGTGGAGTGTAGACCATTTTTCAGGCAGCAAGGATAGAGTTTTGGATGACCTTGCTTGCTCCCTTAGCTCCTTGAGCTGTTGAGCTTAACCGGACTGACCACACTAATGAGCTTGAACGGGTTGAACTGATTAGCTTAACCGAGTTGGTCACACTAGGCTGAATTTGTTGGATCTCTTGGAGTCAGATTATAAACTTAAACTGGACTTATAATATGAGTTGGACTTTTGAACTTGACCCATCGATAAGAAACTCGCAAAGTTGTTTATCATTTTTTCAAAAAAAAACAAATCTCACATAGTTGATATTTATTGTGGCAGGGACCACTGGACTAATCAAACACTCCTAAAAACAACATTTTTAGTGTTCCC